AATCTTTTGCATACTTTTTCTATTTTTAATTATATATTTTGTCTCCTAATTATTGTTATAGGTATTCTTTATATATTTTGCATACAAGTTCTTTGTTAGATAAACGTATTGAGAATATTTTCTCCCAGACTGTAGTTTGCCTATTCACCTTCTTAATGATGTCTTTTGATGAGCAGAATTCTTAATTTTGATAAAGTCCAATTTATCATTTTTTTTCTCTTACGGATAATGCTTTTTGTGTCTGGCCTAAGAAATCTTTGCCTACTCCAAGGTCATGAAGATATTTTCCTATGTTTTGTTGTAGAAGGTTTATAGTGTTAACCTTTAGGTCTGTGATCCACTTTGAATTATTTTTGTGTATGGTGTGAGCTGGGGGTTGAAGTTCCTTTTTTTTCCATATGGCTCTCCGTTTGTTCCAGCTCCATGCATTGAAAACTTTCCTTTCTCTATTGCATTGCTTTGGAACCTTTGCTGAAAATCAGTTGACCAACTGAGTGTGCGTGATTCTATTCTGTCCTTTTGACCCACTTGTTTATCCTAAACCTTTACCACATTCTCTTGATTAGCTTCATGAGTTTTATCATTTTTTTTTAGTCCTGTTCCTCTCATTGTGGCTTCTTTTAACTCCAGCAGGTAAGAGGTTCATATTTTGTTTCAGAAGTTAGTACAATTTCCGAACTCCTCTGGATCTCAGTATCTATAAAATAGGAAAAATAAGAACTCCCTTATAGGGTTTTTTGGGAGAGATAAACAATCTAGAATACCTTTAAAAAGTATAATATAATTCTAAAATAATATTTGTATGTTTAGAATGTTACTTATTTTTATTTCACTTTTTGCTTCCCTTTATCTTAAGACACGTTCTCACATATGTTTACTGAAATCTCCAAGAAGGGTCTGTACCCTTAGTTTCAGATTTGTGGGGGCATCTGTTCTACGGATTTAGAGAAAAAAACAAAGATCTAAGAAAATTAAAAGGAGTGAGGGGCACCTGATTCCTTCCCACTTTACCGGAAACCTAGTCTAGTGGTGATAGCAATCCTTTCTGACATTTCTCATTTGTCTGTTTTTTAAAAGGCAAGATCGGCTAGATTTCTAATGCTTTGTTCTTACAGATCTTTCTGATTTGATCTTCATTTTCTTTGTTGTAGCAGCTACATTTTGCTGAATGACCTTTGCTCTTCCCACCCCAAATCAGTGACCTTTTAAACTGTTTTAATATTTACTGTGGAATTACTTGTCCTGAACTTTGGCTCGAGTTTCCCTGAAAGATTTCATTATAGGCTTAAAATGGAGGGTTCCAAGTTTGTACCCTTACCTTTACCCAAACTAAAACAAGCTGAAAAAATAACTCTTTCTCCTCCTTACTCATCTAAGAGCATACAACAAAGATGAGCAGAAATCTAAATTTTTTCATAACCTTTTCCCTGTTACTGCTCTAGATCATACCCCAGTTATCATTCTCATTGCTAAATTGAAATCTTTTCATCCTTAAGTTTAGTGGCAACTTCTTTTTTCCGGCTTTTGTGTCTACCTGATTGTAAACTCCTTGAGCACAATTATTTGATGTTATTTATCTTAGTTTTGGATTTTAGCATCAAACCAAGTGCCTTGCATTCACAACGTAACTGTCTCCTAAATTCATTCATTATAGGCAAGTGCTGATTATTGTACCAAAGACAGTTTCATATATATAACAGACAGGCAATAATTGTACATGGTTTATGGAGAGCAGGAATCCAGTATTTATTCATTGATTGATTAATAGTTTGAAGTCATTTTATAATTAGAGCATCAGATGAGTTTGGTGCTCCTTTCTTTTCAAAAACCTGTTAGAACCACTCAACTGGAATTCTGTATATCAATTATTTAAATAATAGCTCACTGTACCTTTTTCTGTAAATTTATCCACAAGATTAGAGCTGTATTACCTCATAATAAACGAAAAGGGTCTTTTAAATACTTGTAGTACTAAAATCCCTTGGCAGGAATTCAGAATTATCTCACATTCTGCCCTATTCCAGTCAGTGTCACAGCCAGGTTCCAGTGTACATTACCAAGATAGGAGAATAAATATATGTAGTTTTCAAAAGACACAGACAATGAAAACGAAGACTAACGTCTGCTGATGCTAGATTTTCCGATACTTCTACTGATATGCTCCTATAGAAACTGTTCTCAGGCCTGTGATTAATTGCTGTTTCCTAGAGCAAACTGGTAAATCTTACTTCCTTTTTTGGTAGAATATGGATTTGTCCATCAAATCTTAGCTAGTCCTGGAGGCACCCTTTAAAGTCTAAAGGAGGTAAAATTAGGACAAAAAAAGGAAGTACACCACACATAGCAGGCGGTAAATGGGTGAGAAGTATGACCAAGTGAGAAGTAACGTAGATGGAAAGCATAAATCCTTAAACATGTTTACATAAAGCCATGGAAGTTAGATCCATAAGTACTGTTGTGGGTACTAGGAAGCTTGGAAATATCCTTAATCCAGATATTGGTGTTAGAATAACTACACCTTCTAACCCTAGCATTCTTGAAAGTCCCTGCAAAAAACCATACTAAACTGATTGTGTAATGAATTGTGTAATGAACTGTAATGATCCAGCTTAAGCTCCTCCAGTTCCATTTTGGACTCTGAACAGCAGGGGACAGAATGAGGAGGCAAATTGTCTAGGATCACGGATTTGGAAGACTGGAAGACTATAGGTGATCTTCACCAAATGTTACATTGTGTCAGTGCCAGCCTTTCGAGGAAGCTTTGCCACAAGAGCAGGGAAAGAGAAGTTCAACAAAAGGTAATTGATTTATCAAAGACTTCTAATCAGCGTCCCCCCAGCCCCCGAGATTTGAATATTCTCTAAAGCTTTCAAAGCTTTCAACATTGAGATCTTTTAAAATTGTTTGCGGCTACATAAAGGTCGGCCTCCTTTCCCTCTTTCCCCACGCCCAAACTTGATGTGTCCCAATACAACGGCTAACGTCCCGAGGCGCTGCAGAGGGGAAATGGCCTTTCGGGAGGAGACTTTGCGCCGGCGCCAAAAAGAAGGGTTCAGAGAGGAGAACCGGTGGGCGGGGGTTACTCCAGGGGGAGAAAAATCAGGCGATTTAGGGGAGGGCCTTGGCGAGGTTGGAAGTCCTGCTTTCGGCGCCCGAGAGCAAGTTCCGAGGAAATTAACCAGAGAGGGCGTGGCGCCTGCCTCCCACCCGCCCGCCCTCGCAATGAAAGTCACCGAGCGCCTGCGCGACCCGCCTCTGGGACCAGGTCGCTGTCTTTCTCCTGCTCGGATTCACAGTACATGCCCGGGAGGGGTGTGTAAGCGGCGGGTAAGGAGAGGGAGGCGGCGGGAAGGGGACCGGGGTGGCAGGTGTAGGCTTGAGGGTCTCTGCCGACCTGAAGCTTCTTTGTTCCGTGTAGCTGCTATATGTTTGCTTTTCAGTCCATCACTTTTAAAAGGGAGTTTCATTCCTGTCCCCCTTGCAGGTGAATTGTCAAGCCCCAGGACTAAAACTTGAGAGGATAAGTCTTTTTGCGTTTAAGTGATGATTGACCCACTTTGTATTCTCAGACCAAGGTAGCATCCACTTTGAAAGGGCCCCCTTGAACTTTTGGGGAATAAAAAGTACGTGCAAGTAATAGTAATCTAGAAAGTGGCTGCAGTTGAAGCAACTTCTGTTCATCCTAAGGGTGTAAAATCCTGCAGCGGCTCTGAGTTCAAGGGCAAACTGGCCTTTGTACCTCCTGAAAGACAGGACTTGCTTCTCTTGGTTTGCTTTGATAAGCCAGAGAAACATTAGCAAAGTTAAAAAATAATAATAATTAACAAAGTGGAGGAGGACATGAATTAGACCCTATTAGATGAATTGGAGATTGTTAGAGTCTGCTGACTGGAACCCTGGGAGGATTCTCAGCCCCCCGGTCTGGAGGCGAAAGCCACGTGGAAGGAGTAAAGGAGAAAGGAAGCCTTCTTTGGGGGTTCAGGCCTCAGCTGTTACTGCTGTTGCTGGACTGGGGTGGTGGGGACCAGGGTGCATGCAGATTCCATCTCCCTGCTTCCTTTGAAATAGTCCCAAGGCCTCTTAGTAGTCCGGGCACCACATTTATTTTCTCCTTTTTCCTCTGCCTGTTTACTCTCCAAGAACGTGCCAGTTGGGCTGTAATCAAACATTGTTGAATGGCCTTGGAAACTTCTCCAGGTCTCCAGCTAACAGGCTTTAACCCAGTCTAGCCCAGTGTCCTCAGATCCCTAGCCTGCTATGAAAACTAGACACACCTTTTGCATCCCCTGGGAGTTAGGCTGGTATTGAGTTTTACTGTCTTCTGCTTTTTCCAAAATAAGAGGCCTATGTGTGTTGACCACCTTTGTTCATCTTGAAAAATGGCAAATCGGTCCAGATTTGAATATTACTCTCTGTGGCAGACAAGGACAGTTTTTCTGAGGGTTTGTTTGAGAGTGGAGTTTCTTAAACGCTGAGTCCAGAAAAGGTCAGCATAGGCCCCTGGTAACGGCCTCCCCCCACCTCCCCCCCCAGAGCCAGAAGCATTTTCCTCCCAACACCTGGGCCCTGAAACTTGGAGGCCTTGTCTGCAGTCACCTCAGTCTATTCAGTAAATTCTAGAACTCATAAACAGCAATGAGACCACTGAATTATCTTTTTTCTTTGTCTCGTGGGTACTGTTCTGTTGCTTTAAAAAGTCTAAAATTGCAGAGTCATGGCCATGGGAATGCGTGCTCACATACTGTGTGTTGCACAATATTGACGTAGAAAGGCTGCTATAGATAAGAGAACTTTGCTCTTTTTGGCTAACAGCCTATAAAGAGAAGAGGAATATTTCTCAGTTGGTAGTATCTATCACTCAACTGTGATAGATACTAAGGGAGCAGGGGTGGGATTCTGTGGGGTGCGGGGGACAAGACAGGAAGGGGATTTGACAGAAGGAGGCCCCCAGAAGGCCAGAGAAGTCTAGAATGTTTAGCCTTGATGGTAGATAGCCCACAAGTTCAACACTTGAGAAAACTGGGTTCCAGTCTTGGGCCCTCCACTGTGAATTTGGGTCAATTACTCATTCTAGCTCTCTGGGCCTCAGTTTCCTTATATGTTAAAAGTAGAGACAGATATTTGCTCTGAGTACCTTAGAGTTCTCCAAATTCTCAAGTGAGATAATGTGATGGCTTTTGAAAAGTCTAAAATTGTATCCTCAGTGCCTAGAACAGCACTTATTTATTTACCAAATACTTGTATAGCACTTACTGGGTCCCACTGCCTTTCTGAGCACTTTATACTTTATTCACTTAATGCTCACAAGAGTCCTGTGAGGTAGGAAGTATTATTAACCTCATTTTTACAGGTAAGGTAAATTAATTGCAGTGGGTAAGTGGCAGAGTTGCATCCACCTGGACCACAGTCTAGTTGCACAGTCTGTGTGAGCTCGACACATAGCTCTTTGTCCTTTGTAAAGGCATCACCTTCACATTAGGGGACTGAGCCCCCCTCTCTGGCGATATAGGTACAGATATTCTCCACTGTGCCAACTAATGCTGGACAATAAAAGGAACAATACACTGTCCAAATAGAATACATCGTTGGAATCATTTATTTTCTATAACTCATCACCAAGTTTCATGTTTTGCTCTGCTTACTTTTCTTAGATTATTTCTACTGCGCTCCTAGACTACTCAAATCACTGAACACTTTACCGTCTGAAGTATTATTACTACTATACTGCTCTCCTCCCTCCTGGTGACCTTTCATGTACAAAGTTTCCACTAACTATTTTTAGAGTGCAGTGCCCAGGCATGATGCAGGTTCAAGGCAACTTACTGACAAATTAGCTTCAAAAAAGAAAGTCTAGATCAGCACCTCCTAATTTTGTGCTGTAAATGACCCCTATTTCTTAATGCCTTATCTTTAACTCTCCTCACCCCACCCTCAGATGTGCTGGGAGTGGACCATGTTGATCCTGAGAGGCGATTTGTGGACCCATAGTGTGTGATACCAGAAGCTCCCAAAAGCCACAGACTTGAGCTAAGGCACATTTTGGTGATTGAGAAACTCTCTGTGTAAAGGACACTTCGTGTGTTGTTCACATTTAGAGAAAAAGCCTCCCATTGACCTTTGCCTCCAACTGCTCATGTCTTTGTGTTGTTTTCCCACCAACAGGTCTGGAAGTCTTCTACTTTTTCTCTATCCTTTCTATACCCATTTTCACTGAGAGAAAACCATCCTCTGGTTGCTAAATACACTTCATTCTGAGAACATTGGTGGGGAGGTACAGAAACTGTTTGACTTTTAAAATGATGGTTGAATAGTAGCATTTCCTACTTGATAAACTTTTCTTAAATTAAAAAAAAATTAACACCTCTGCTGTGTTTCTTCATTATCTCTGTCCAGAGGCATAGGACTTAGGGCTTCCTTATTAAGCTAATTACTCTACCTGCGTACTGAAGGAGAGTGCAGTTTATTCATGACACCCCCCCCCCGCCATACTAGAACAGGAGCAGATACATTAAATGTTGCTAAAAGTATTATTTTGCACTGAGAAACGTCAACTGAAAAAAACACATAACGTGAGAGCTGGGAGTTCAGCTTTAGTTGGGGCTTTCTGAGGACTGTAGCTCTTGAGGAGGTGCGGGTATCAGTATATATATGATTTTGCTGAAGGGGGTATGTGCAATCAAACACACATCTTAGTAGAAGTTTGCTGCTGGTTATGAGGAACAGGTGTCTCCACTAATGATGTTAGTGCTTTTCTAGGTATGAGAAGATGCAAAAAATTGGGCTCATAAAAATTTCTCCTGAAAATATCTAACTCTCTGAAGGCGTCTTCTGCCACTTTTCCCCAGAGCACACACAGTGCCTCATTCCTGACCTGCCCTGAACTCCTTTCAGGGTGTGTTAAAGGTCAGCGACGGCATTGGCTAGTGACCTCCTGCTTGTAGAATCAGATGGTGAGTGCTATTTTTAGTTGGCAGAATCTATCTAACATACTTGCTTTCAAGACTACTGACTGGTGGAGGTGGGTTAGTTTGCTACTGTGTGTGTGTGTGTGTGTGTATTTAAACTAAATACGGTTGACCCTTGAACAATGCGGGGGGGTGGGGGGCCAGCCTTCCACGCAGTCGAAAATCCACGTATGACTTACAGTCGCCCCCTTCTTATACTCGGTTCCTCTGTATCCATGGTTCTGCATCTGCTGATTCAACCAGCTGCTAATTGTTTAACATGCTGGTATTTAGTATTGAGAAAATCCAAATATAAGTGGACCCACACAGTACAAACCCGTGTTATTCAGGGGTCAACTGTACATTTCTATTTGTCTGAATCCAAGGAGTATATTTTTAGTCTACCTTTTAAAATAGGAGTTGCTTAGGAAGCTTTGGGTTTTTTATTTGCAAAATGGGAGTAATACTTAACTTGTAGCATAACTGGAAAAGGAAGGAAGATAACAGATGGAAGGGGTGCCAGCGCTGCCAGCTGCAGGGTAGGCACTCAGTCAGTGTTAGTTGAATCAGAATTAAGCAGTTTGCAGCCTCTTGAAGGAGACAGTGCAGTGTGGTTGGTATACAAGACGTGAGGTCAGAGACCTGGGTTTGTGTCCCAGCATGGCCACTAAGTATCTCAAATTTCCATTTCATTCATCTGTAGAATAGATATACTTATGAGAATTATAATTTTATGGTTATGAAAATTATGTAAGGCAATGCACATAAAGTACGTGGTATAATTGGATGTGTAGCCAAGCCTTATAAAATTAAATATACATGTATTATATATGTGATTTATGTCCCATTCAACAGTAACATACAGACAACTGCATGACCGGTAGCAGAGTATAGAAAGATATGTAGGTTTACAGATTATTGGTAGATAGAATGATCACTCTAGGTTGCATGCAGGAGTCGAGTTTTAAAGGCAGGAACAGATATGGTCTACAGGAGACAACGCTCCGTGCTAAGCCTGAAAAATAGCGTTTAAGCTTGGGTATGAGAAAAGATATTTGTTTATGTAGAAGACATAGAAGATGTAGGTAGTGGGGCTGATAATAGAACAGAGGAGGTTAAAAAGAATGACTCTCAGATAGTGTGGAATTTCAGCTTTACCCCCTTCCCGAGCACTTCCCAGGTTATACTTCCGACACCAGACTCAGGGCGTTACCTTCAGTTTACTCCTGACTGCTTTTAGGTGGAAGTAAATATGGAATGTGAAGTGACCTGAAGACTTACGTAAAGTTAATCCTCCTCCCCTTGTGCCTTCTACAAAAGCATCATAAATGCCAATTTTTCACCTTGCATTTGCAAGCCTGTTATTTTATGTTTCCATTATCCTGCTTCACCCTCTTCATGTGTGTTGATGTGAATGATGACCATGGTCTTGATGGCAGCGATGATTGTGATCAGGAGATCATAAACTTTATTGAGGGTTTTCATGGGCCAGGCACTGTGCTAGGTATGTTCCACATGTTATCTCAATTAAATCCTGACAACAACCCACTAAGTTAGGAGGTATTACTATTGCTATCTTATAAATGAAGAAATTCAGTTTCACAGAGGCTAAGTCTCTCAACCAAGGTTAATAGCAAAATGGTGTGACTGGAATTAGAATCCTGGAGTCTGAGATCTTGAATATGACTGAAAGGACAAAAGGCTGTTAAGTTGGGTTTGTAAAGGAGGACATATGTTAGAACTTAAGCATTTCTAATCAAACATTGATGATACTAAATACTATGTACATAGTTTGATGTTTCTGAAGAGATCCATGGATTCTGTTTTTGTGTGTGTCCAACTTGTGGCTCGTCTTGATGCAAAAATATGATTTTATTTCTATCTTTAGAGCAGTTCACCTGTTTATTTTTGCTTGTAATACCCCCTGCATTTTCATTTTCACTCAGTACTTGTTTGATGTCTTCAAGCTTAATGATATAGAACTAGAAAAAAACATAATAGTATTCATTTTGGCATTAAACCTAACATTATTTCTTCTTCAAATAACCCAAGATATCTTTTTTTTTTTTTTTTTTTTTTTTGGTACGCGGGCCTCTCACTTTTTTGGCCTCTCCCGTTGCGGAGCACAGGCTCCAGACGCGCAGGCTCAGCGGCCATGGTTCACGGGCCCAGGCGCTCCGCGGCATGTGGGGTCTTCCCAGACCGGGGCACGAACCCGTGTCCCCTGCATCGGCAGACGGACTGTCAACCACTGCGCCACCAGGGAAGCCCTACCCAAGATATCTTTAAGAACAGTGTGGTTAATGCTGCAGTATAAGCACATCGAGGGTATTTCTGTCTGCTTTTTCCTATCTTGTCTAAAATTCTTTTAAGATTCCAGACCAAAATTGAAACAATGGTCGACCTCACGCAGCTAATGGAGAATGAAGTATTCATGGCCTTTGCCTCCTACACAACGATTGTTCTTTCAAAAATGATGTTTATGAGTACTGCAACTGCATTCTATAGATTGACAAGAAAGGTAAGACATTGGAGGCAATATTTTCTTTTAAGAGTTGAGATTCTGGAAAGCAATTTTCTTAAATTATTTTTTGTAAAGCCCAGTGGCATATTGTCTAATACTGCAAATGAAATATGCAATCGTTTGGTACAGGTGGTTCTGATATATTTATGGAATGGGTGCTTTTTCCTAGAAACTAGTAAATAGTTTTTTCATTGTAGCTTTTACCTTTTGTCATGCCACTTAGCATATGAGATTTCTGGAGTATCAAAGTTTTCAAGGAAACTTTTTGTGATTCCGAAGTTAATTTTGCCTACTAGAGTTTAGAAAATAGTCATTTCCTAGACAGTGAACTGGTGTTTTTCAGCTCTGTTACAGGTCAAGGATGTGCCTTTGGGGATAGAATTAAAGTTCTTATTATCAGCAGAACCTCTTATGATTGGGGATAAGGCATTTGAATTTTGTGTGGTTATGAATTCTTAAGTGGATAATATTTCTACCCATCATGATAAGAATGATTTTTTTTAAAACTGGAGGCTTGGGGAAGGTGGTAGAAAGTTTTTGAAACACATAACCTATATTCAGGCAGGGTTTATGACAACAGTGATGGGGGTAAAGCAAAGCTACATTGACAAAGTTAAATGCTCTTCATTGGTGTGGTCCCTGTGCCTATTCAGCAGCTTCTTTCTGGAAACCATCATTTCTCTTTTAGTCCCTGTCCTGAGTTTTTGTCCTCCAGAGCCTTGCTTTTATCTAGAAGTCACGGTCCTTCCTAAGGTATTTCCTCATTACTGTCTTGAGGTGTCATTTCTTCCCAGTGATATTTGCATTTTAATGGGGACACATACCCACATGTTTAACTCTCTAATGGGGCAAGGTGTTAGAGCAGCAGGCTATAAAGTGGCTGCTACCACCAGATCCACACTGTCCTCTAGAAATGTCATGGCACCAAGGATAGCAGAAATGTCGCTCGTCTTAAAAGGAGAAGGGAATTCCAGTTTGTGGAGTGCCAGTGATATATGTTAGGAGCCATGACACTCTGTGTGTGTGTCAGATCATGGAAGCATTTTACATAATTGTTAGCATTATCATGTGAGATGAGCATTACTGTTCCCATTTTATAGATGAGGAAATACAAGTCAGAGAGATTAAGTAGCTTTCCCAAGGTTACACACCAATAAAGGGTGAGGCTGAGATTCAAATTCAGGTTGGTTTAAATGAAAATCTCATGCACTTTACGTTGTAATACCTTTATTTACTTATTCGAAATGTATTTATTGAACATCCACTGTGTGCCAGGCAATTATTTAAGGACAAGACAGACAGATCTGACCTCAAGAACTGATACTGTATCACACTGCTGCCCATCAGTTCTCCTCAACATCTTTACCTGAAATAAATGCTCATGTCATATTAAGAAAAATATTATAATATTTATGACGTTCCTCAGCTTAAATTAAGGCTAATTTTAGAGTTCGTGTTTTTCTTTATTATATATGATTAAATACTGGGACATACTTAAATATTTTTAAATGCATGTTTCAAGTTTCAGGGAATGGGGAAATCATTTCAAACATCATCATAATGGCAGGAAGGAGTACATGAAATACGCCCTAGAACATGTCCTTGGTGTTTATAGGAATGCGATTCAACTTCTTATATTTCACTGTATTGTTCAACACAAACTTCTAGTTAATTCAGAAAAAGAAAAGAGGCACACATATCCTAACGAAGTACAAAATACTTTTCCTGCCCCTCACTCTTTTATGCTGCATGCCTGTTCTCTGATATCCTTGGCAAGTAAACTTATGACTTTCATATGAGCCAACCAGTTAGAAATATTAATACTCTTGAGGGCAAGTGCATCAACATTACTGTAAAAAAATGCCAGTTCACCGTAATAGTCAATGAGGACTTAGAATTATGCTCTGTTTGTCCATTTTTGCTTCCTTTTCGCTATTTTTATACATTGGTTTTTATTTACGTTATTTATGCTTCTCTTAAAATTTGTTTTTACACTGTTAATAAAAATTCAGATTTTAAGAAGAGATGCTTTCTGCTACCCCTGGGTTTGATCTATTGCTCCCATTTTTTTTTTCATAATGGCCAACTTGGATGCCTGTATTTCCTTCCGTTAAAATGTAAATAACTTATCAGATACAGTTACCCCCATGTTACTTGGCATTTGAAATAGGTTTTTTCCTCGTTATTTGGAATAGGTTTTTGCCAACCCGGAAGACTGCGCAAGCTTTGGCAAAGGAGAGAATGCCAAGAAGTACCTTCGGACAGATGACAGAGTGGAACGTGTACGAAGGTGAACCCACTGTCTCCTGAAATGGTTTACTTGATCAAAGAATTTTGGTATCAGAGTTAAGTGAGGATGTTGGGGTCTTGAAAGAAGGAAGAAAAGTCGGTCATTTTACCTAGTCCATATAATTATAGAAAATTAGCGATCTAGATGTCTCCAACTATCACTGTGATTACACATATTTCCAATTTAGCTTTTCTGTGCACTTTGTTGGGGTTAATGACTTTGTTCTGTGTAGGGATTTATCAAAAGTAATGACAGGTAGGAGGTGAAATGAGGATGGTAGATTCTTGCAGTTTTTGTCATCTTTCTCCAGAGGTGAAACTGTTAGCTTGTGTAAAAGGTTGAAGAACTAGGTATTTTCGCATAAGATTCAAAATATGAACTTGGGAAATCTCTCCCTTTCCAATCTCTCTCTCTCTCTTCTTTGTAGATATTATGTTTAATATACTGAGAATGCAATGAACAATGAAAAGCAGTAAGCCAAGATACCATCTACACAGTTTCCTAATAATACCAGGAATATACTTATTTTAAAAGCACATTGAATTCTAGTTCTGGAGTATATTTCTTAATCCTTGGCATAAAGTCATGTAAATTGCAAACTTTTTTTCATCTTTACAGAGGTATTATTGACAAATAAAATTGTAAGATGGTTGAAGTGTACAATGTCATTTGATATATGTATATGTTGTGAAAGAATTCCCTCTATTGAGTTAATTAACACATCCATCACCTCACATATTTCATTTCCCCTCCTCTCTTTTTTGGTGAGAACATTTAATTTCTACTCCTATAGCAACTTTCAGTTATACAGTAACACAATACAGTGTTATAAACTATAGTCAGCATGTTATACTTTAGATCCTCAGACCTTGTTCATCTTATGACGGACGATTCGTACCTTTTTATCAACCTCTCCATATTTCCCCCAACCTCTAGCGCCCTGGCTACCACTACTTTCTGTTTCTATGAATTTTATTTTTTTCCTTTTGGTAGATTCCGTGTATAAGTAATACCATATAATATTTGTCTTTCTCTGTCTTAATTATTTCATTTTGCCTAATGCCCTCCTGTTTCATCCAAATGACAGGATTTCCTTTTTTTTTTTTAAGACTAAATAATATTCCATTGTGTGTGTGTGTGTGTGTGTGTGTGTGTGTGTGTATGGTTAGGTTGTTTCCATGTCTTGACTGTTGTGAATAATGCTGCAATGAATATGGGAGTGCAGACATCTCTTTGGGATAATGGTAGTTCTCTTTCTAATTGTTTGAGGACCTTCCATACTGTTTTCCATAGTGGTTGTACCAGTTTACATTCCCAGCAACAGTGTGGAAGAGTTCCCTTTTCTCCACAACCTGGCAAGCATTTTCTATCTCTTGTCCTTTTCATAGTAGCCATCCTAACAGATATAATGTGATAACTCATTTTGATTTAGGATGATTGGTGATGTTGAGCACCTTTTATGTACCTCTTGGCCAGTTGGATGTCTTCTTTGGAAAAATGGCTAATGGGGTCTCCTTTTTTAATTGAGTTATTTTTACTTGTTTATTTGTTTTGGGCTATGGAATTGTATGAGTTCCTTATATACTTTGAATATAAGCCCTTATCCGATATGTGGTTTGCAAGTATTTCCTCCCATTCCATAAGTTGCCTTTCAGTTTTGTCGATGGTTTCTTTTGCTGAACAGAAGCTTTTTGATTTGATGTAGTCTCATTTGTTTGTTTTTGCTTTTGTTGTCTTTGCTTTTGGTGTCAAATCTAAAAAATCATTGCTAAGGCCAGTGTCAAAGAGCTTACCGACTGTCTTTTCCTTCTAGAAGTTTTATGGTTTCAGGTCTTATGTTCAAGTTTTTAATCCATTTTGAGTTGATTTTTGTGTATGGTGTTAGATAGGGTCCAGTTTCATTATTTTGCTTGTGGAAATGTAGTTTTCCTGACACAATTTATTGCAGAGGCTGTCCTTCCCTATTGTGTATTCTTGGCTCCTTTGTAAAAAATTAATTGACTATGTATGGGTTTATTTCTGGACTCTCTATTCTGTTCCTTTGATCGATGTGTCTGCTTTTATGCCAATACAATACTGCCTGGATTACTATAGTTTTCTAATGTAGTTTGAAATCAGGAAGTATGATGCCTCCAGCTTTGTTTTTATTTCTCAAGATTGCTTTGGATATTCAGGGTCATTTGTGGTTTCACACAAATTTTGGGATTTTAAAAAAGTTCTTTAAAAATGCCACTGGGATTTTGAGAGGGAGTACATTAAATCTGTAGATTGCTTTGGGTAGTATGGACATTTTAGCAATATTAATATTAATTCTTCCAATCTATGAGAAGAGAATATCTTTTCATTTATTTATGTCTTTTATTTCTGTCATCAGTGTCTTATAGTTTTCAGTGTATAGATCTTTCACCTCTTTGTTTAAATTAATTTCTAAGTATTTTATTCTTTTTGCTGCTATTTTAAATGGATCGTTTTTTAAGTTTCTCTTTCTGATAGTTCATTGTTAGTGTACAGAAATGTAACTGATTTTTTTTCATTGTAGTTTTATTGAAATTTGAGCAAGAATTTGGCTTTGATATTCTCCAACAAAATATTTTTGTATATTGATTTCATATCCTGAGACTATACTGAATTCATTTATTACTTCTAACAGTTTTTGGTGGAATTAGGTGAGTGTTTTTAAAATAATATATCATCTACAAATAGAGACAGTTTTACTTCTTTCTTTCTGTTTTGGATGACTATTTCTTTTTCTTGATTAATTGCTCTGACTAGGATTTCCAGTACTATGTTGAATAAAAGTGATGAGAATGGGCATCCTTGTCTTGTTCCTGATCTTAGAGGAAAAATTTTTGGCTTTTCACCATTGAGAACCATGTTACCTGTGGACTTGTCACATATAGCCTTTATTACATTGAAGTACATTCCATCTATAACCAGTTTGTTGTGAGTTTTTATCATGAAAGGGTTTTGGGTTGTCAAATGCTTTTTCTGCTTCTATTGAGAAGATTTTTTTAAAATTAATTAATTAATTTATTTTTGGCTGTGTTGGGTCTTCGTTTCTGTGTGAGGGCTTTCTCTAGTTGCGGCAAGCAGAGGCCACTCTTCATCGCGGTGCGCGGGCCTCTCACTGTCGCAGCCTCTCTTGTTGCGGAGCACAGGCTCTAGAAGCGCAGGCTCAGTAGTTGTGGCTCATGGGCCCAGTTGCTCCGCGGCATGTGGGATCTTCCCAGACCAGGGCTCAAACCCGTGTCCCCTGCATTGGCAGGCAGATTCTCAAGCACTGCGCCACCAGGGAAGCCCCTGAGAAGATTTTTATCTTTCATTTTGTTAATGTAGAGTATCACACAGGTTGATTTGCAGATGTTGAACTATCCTTGCATCCCTGGAATAAATCTCACTTGATAATGGAGTATGATGCTTTTGATCCTTTCAATTAAACTGTGTAATTTGTTTTGCTAATATTTTGTGGGGGATTTTTGCCTCGTGTTCATCAGGGATATTGGCCTGTAATTTTCTTTTCTTGTAGTGCCCTTATCTGACTTGGATATCAGGGTAATACTGGATTTGTAAAATGAGTTTGTACATGTTTCTTCTTTTATTTTTTTGGAAGAGTTTGAGAAGGATCGGTTGGGTAATGTATTCTTAGTTGGTAGTTTTTTTCTTACAGAACTTTGAATATATCCTCCCACTCTCTCTGGCTTGCAAAATTTCTGATAAAAAATTCTGCTGATAATCTTATGTGGGTTCCCTTGTATGAAACAAGTTGCTTTTCTCTTGCTGCTTTTAAGCTTCTCTCCTTGTCTTTAACTTTTGATAAGTTAATTATAACGTGTCTCGGTGTGGGTCTCTTTGGATTCATCTGTTTTGGCACTTTCTGAGGTTTTTGTAGTTGAATGTCTATTTCTTTCTTCAGATTAGGAACATTTTCAGTCATTACTTCTTTGGGTAAGTTTCTGCCCCCTTTTCAGTCTCATACTTCTGGTACCTCTGTAATGCATATATTGGTCTTTTTGAGGGTTTTCCAATAAGTTCCTTAAGCTATTGTCACTCTTTTTCATTATTTTTCCTTTTTGTTTCTCTGATGGATGAATTCTGCTGCACTGTCTTCAAGTTTGCTGAACCTTTCTTCTGCTTCATCTAATCTGTTGTGACCTCCTTTATTGAATTTTTTAATTCAGTCATATTCTTCAGCTCTGTGATTTCTGTTCGTTACTTTAAAAATATTTTCTATTTCTGTTGAAATTCTCACTTTGCTCATGCATTGTTCTCCTGACCTTGATGAGCATCTTATGACCAATATTTCCATCAGGTAAATCACTTATCTCTGTTTCAGTAAGGTCTGTTTCTGTAGACTTATCTTGTTCTTTTGTTTGGAACATATTTCTCTGTTTCTTTATTTTTCTTTATTCTCTGTGTTGGTTTCTGTGCATTAGATAAAACAACCACCACTCCCAGTCTTGAAAGAGTGGTCTCATGTGGGAGATGAACCTAGTCAATTAGCTTGAGCTCCTGGTTGTCTCTCAAGCCTTTGTGATTGTCCAAGCTGCCTTCTTTGTTTCTACTGGCTCCCAGATTTTGAGTGTGTGCCAAGACTTTTCAAGTGTTCCAAAGGGGAGGATCACAGTCAGCAGCTAGCTGCAAGCAGATTGGAAGCCGGACTCTCAAACAACAGCTGGAAAAGTAGGTAGTTAAGCCCCTTCCAGAGAGAAACTGGGATTTGGGCATTTTTCCTGGGCTCAGGTGTATAGCTGTGGGGAGAGCTCTTGTACCTATTAAGAAACTGCTTCCTTGTTTGCTGTAGTCCTGTGGAAGTCATGAATGCAAGCCCCATTGGCTGTCAGAGCCAGGCAGTCCAGGAGCCTGTCCCTTCAGTAGTAGCTGCAAAAGTTGGGGTGCCAGAGGTGCGTACAAGCTCCTTCCAAGGAGATACTGGCAACTTGGAGTGGGCTAGAGGGAGAAGGTGAGGGATGTGTCTTCTGGCTTCTCCAGTCTCTGAGGAG